GCCATTTCCCACGGTGAGGATGGCTGTACTTGAGGGGCCTGACCAGGCTGAATCCCCACTGCTTCCATTCCTCTTTCCCCTGCCCATACAGACTGTTTGAAGCCCTGACTCCAGGCCAAGGGGTGTCAAGGGTCACTTTGTCCTTAGCTCAGAGCAGTGAACCTGGAGAAATGTGATGAGGGCTGGGGTCTGAGCTCATAAACAGCTGAGCTTTGCTTAATGATGGGACTGAGCTGGCCTCTAGAGATTCCAGGCTGCTTGGTCTAGGCAAGTCCAAAAGGAGTGACACAAATGGTCTTCTTCCTTGCAGCGATAGCCATCAGTCTTTCTTCAGGGCACCGGGCAAGTTTATGGGCCCAACTCAGACTTAACAAATCAGATCACAATACTCCATCTCAAGCAAACTTGTTTGGCTGAGGAGCGTGAGTGCTCCCTCTGATAGAAGATGTTTATGCAGGTTTTCAAACAAACCTCTGGGTCATGACCCCTCACTCTCAGCAGCATCAACACAGCTGCCTGTGGTCCTTCCAGGGATCCCCTCCTGCAGGGGGTCCCTCCAGGGCACAGCAACCTGAAGTCTAGAGACTGGACCCAGCTGCATCCCACCTGCTCTCCCCCCCCAACAGAAAGGCACAGGTCTCTATTAGATCTCCCCACCCATTTGTGACTCTTCACTGTCAGCTCTTTCATTGCCATGGCAACCCCAGATCCTCACCTATGGAAATGAGAATCAGGCCTCTACAGTCAGCCTCTTTGAGAGCAAGAGAGCAAGCAGAGTGAGAGAGCCAGTGAAATAGAAAGACAGAGGAGGGAAGGGGCAGGCCACTGTAATCTACAGAGCCCAGAACTAGCAAACTCGGGCTCTGCTTCTGACTTTGCCATCCAGGAGCAGTATAAGCCAGGGCCAGAGACAGATCTTTGGAGCCACTATTTTTAACTGGTGACCTGGCAGCTTTGCCTCATAGGCCAACTTCATAAAGACAGTCTGATACCCTTAAGGTACTTTAAAATAGATGTATTAGTGTATGTACACACAAGTGCATCGTGAACATCAGAAGATATCAGACTCTCTTTATCTTGGGTGGGAATTTTAGATCAAACTCACTGTTAGGCTTTCAGGGCAAATGCTTTTACAGTGACCCATCTGTCCAATTCACCTGGGGGCACTTCTAGCCAGCTCTCAGAAAGGACCCAGCCTTTCCTCCCTTCCCTCAGGGCAGGCTACACATCTATTCCCTAATTGCATACCTTCCAGGGCTGTGCCTGGGGTGAGTGAGTGAGTGGGCTTTGAAAGTCTCTGGTCCATTTCTAATCATGTCTGAGAGCCAATGCCTCCTGCAAGGGCAGAGAGAGTACAGGAAAGAAAGATCCTAAGAAATAATATTCTCTCCTAAGCTGTGGGGGGAAATCTCTCTCTCTCTCTCTCTCTCTCTCTCTCTCTCTCTCCTCTCTCTCAATCCTTTGGTAGCACACTGGGTAAAATGTGCAGGGGGACTAAGCCATCACTTTGATGTGTCACCTAGGTCGTTCCTGAGAAGTGCCAAGGTGGGTGATGTTTTAGATACTGTTCTCCCAAAGGCCCTGCCCTCAGCCCATAGCACACTGTTAGGAAGTAGTGGAACCTTTAAGAAGTATGACCTCAGGTAAGGAAGTTGGGTGTTTTGGCGCATGCTATTGACACACTGGCAGCTTCCTGGTCCCCTTCTTTTGCCTCCTGTCTGCCATGAGTTAAGTAGCTTCCTCCACCCAGCTTGCTCGCTGTGATAGGCAGCCTCCCCACAGACACAAGAGCAATGGCTGTCTGTGGACAGAAACCACAAAATCTGTGAGCCAAGACAAGCTTCTGTTTTTGCCATTGATTACCTCAGGTATTCTGTCACAGTGACAGAAGGCAGATTCACAGTGGGCCTGACAGGTGGCTCTCCATCGGTGAAGACCTGCTTTTCCCATCAATGGCCTGTTAGCAAATAGGCTATACTTTTCACTTACCTGCCTGGAGAATTCTGGGGTCTGCTCTTCATAATCCATACCTTGAGCACTACCTCCCCATCTTACATAGCAACACAGGGGTTCCAGATGTCTCCCCTGCCCCTAGCTAAGCCAAGCACTCTGCCCACGTTACCTCCCAGTGGCAAAGATTTGAATCTAGCATGCCCATGAGGGTGCTCCCTTATGTTCTGGGATCATACTTGAGCCACTACAATAGGCAACTCCCCTGCCTTGGGCTGATTATTTGCCCATTATCTACTTAGCAAGTTTGCTATGGCCTCCTCGCCCCCAGAACCATGCTGGGCTGGAACTGAGATGGTTCAGTGGGGAAAGATGTTGACAACCAAGCTTTATAATCCAAGTTCCATCTCTGCAGCACATATGGTATAAGCAGAGAAGCAACACTCTTGTCTATTGTCCTCTGACTTCCATATTCATGTCATGTCCATGTCCACACACACACACACACACACACACACACACACACACACGTGTGTTAAAGCGTGCATGCTTTAAGAAAGTTGTATTTTAAAGGTCTGAGATATGATTTCAGTGTTTGGGAGTACTTCGAAGATGAGAACAATTGCTGTGCATGCTTAAGGATGTGAGTTCAAATAATCAGAATCCATATAGAAAACCAGGTGTAGCTGTGCATGAACCTGTCACCCCAGTATTGTGAGGGAGTAGAAACTGAGCTCGCTTGAAACCAGTCTAGCTCCAGGTTCAGTAAAAAACAACTGCCCACCACCCAACGGGAGGGGTAAGACAAAAAGGGGATGGAACAACACATGCAACATCCTCCTCTGGCCTTCATGTGAAACCACAGGCTGACATATGCATGCACTCACATGCTCAGACACTGCACACATAGGTTACATCCACCCCCCACCCCCACCAAAAAATTTCTTAAATAGGATTTCAGCATTTCTTTTGGGTAGCTTAAAGATCTTGCAATATTAATCTAGCCCTGGAGTAGAAAAATCAAAGCCCAACTCGGATTTTCCTCCTGTGATCCCAGAAGGTGTGGGGCTTTTACCCACCTTGAGAGACAGTCATTGTGAGGATGACAACAACTGGATGTCCCCTTGTGCAAGTACAATCATCTCTGACCCTAGAGAATGCATCAGACCACACAGGTTGAGGGCTCCATCCCCAAGACCTTCCTCACCTCATACAACCAGTCCTAAATCCAGGCCTCTATAATAAAACAGATCCTTCTAAAATAAGCATCTTATCACCCAACTATCCCACAGGGTAGAACAGCACACTGGCTACTTTTATGTCAACTTGACACAAGCTAAAGTCATCAGAGAGGGTGGTGGCTCCTCTGAGAAAATGTCTCAATAAGATCAGGCTGTACACAAGCCTCTAGGGCATTTTCTTAATTATTTATTAATCGGGGAGGGCTCAGCCCATTGTGAATGGGACAATCCCTGGGCTGGTGGTCCAGGGTTCTATAAGAAAGCAGGCTGAACAATCCATGGGGAGTAAGCCAGTAAGCAGCACCCCTCCATGACCTCTGCATCAGCTCCTGCCTCCAGGTTCCTGCCTTGTTTGAGTTCCTGTCCTGACTTCCTTCAGTGATGATGGACAGTGTTATAGAAACATAAGACAAATAAACTCTGTCCTCTCCATCTTGCTTTTGATCATGGTGTTTCATCATAGCAATAGTAACCCTAAAACAGGCAGAGAATTCCTTGACAAAAGCAGAGAAGGATGGCAATATATATTTAGTTTATAGGGGATGCTTGGAAAAGAGAAATCTTAGCTTGCAGGGGGTCAGCATTGTAAAGAGGGTCGGGTAAAAGGATGGCATTAGAAGCTAGTGATGGGTTTTTCTTTCTAAAACTTACGGTATCCCAATAGTGTTCTAGTCTCTAAAGAAATAGCAAGAGTGGAGGGGGGCGCAGCCATGAATGTTGCATGAAAACATCAACAACAATCAACTATTACAACCCCTGCGACTACATTCAAGTGACACATTCACCTGTATCCTTTGCCAGTGTGACAGGCCTCTCTGTCCCTTGCCACCTGCCTGGTCTGCTTGCTTTATTCAGTCTGCTCACCCCTCTTAGGTAGCCTTATTTTACCCTTGTTACTGAGGAACAATAACAACAGACTTACAATGGGGCCAGGTCTCGACCCTGTCTTAAGTTGAACATACTGTAAGTAAAAATGCACATAGCTCACCCAACCCACTGAATTCTGTAACTCAAGCTTGCCCCCTTCAGTATGCTCAGAACACTTAGGCTAGACTAAACCCTCTGGGGCAGTAATCTGCTGTTGTTTAAGCATGTCCTGTACTATAGTAAAATCAAAACATTTGCGTGGGATCATAGGGTGTGTGGGTGTGTGTGTGTGGGTGTGTGTGTGTGCACTTCTCCCAGCAAATATGAGCTATTCTGTCACTGTTCTGGAAATGGGGATAACAACTGATAGGAACACAATCCTTCCCTTTCTGGCAACTTCCCTTCTAGCTGACAGTTTGGGGTTTACCAATGGACATGGGGGAGGGAGCCATGATAGAGTAGTGGTTAAAAGAAAGGCCTTGCTGAAAAGGATTAGAAAGGCATCCCACGGAGAGTGAGGTTAAGAACATGCCCTAGGTTAAGTGGCAGAGCTGGGATTCAAACCCAGCTGCGTCCAGCCCCTGAGGCCCTAACCCTGCATTATAAGGTCTTTCTTATGGGTACTCCTGGGACGAGGAACACAGACAGGGACCAGTGTGGCTCTTCCAAGACTTGATTGCAGGAGGATGCTTGATTCAAGGGTCCCAAGCTGGTCCTTTCTTCTCAGCATGCACAGAGGAGGTGAGCGACTACTCTCAGCTCTTTATTTTAATCTCAGGAGGGTTCTGTGCCCCTCCTCCCTCCAAGGACTGGGAGGAACTGTCTGCAAATCCCCCTGCTCCATCAGCACCTGGGTCTCCACCCCACAGCTGCACACAGCCTTGCTAGCCAGGCCACCCACACTTGTCCCTCCCGCCCCCACGGCGCCCACTCTCCCTCACCATGGGCAACAGCAAGAGCGGGTCTCTGTCCAAAGAGATCCTGGAGGAGCTGCAACTGAACACTAAGTTCACGGAGGAGGAGCTGTGCGCCTGGTATCAGTCCTTCCTGAAGGAGTGTCCTAGCGGCCGCATCACTCGTCAGGAGTTCGAAAGCATCTATTCCAAGTTCTTCCCTGACTCTGACCCCAAGGCCTATGCGCAGCACGTGTTCCGCAGCTTCGATGCCAACAGCGACGGTACGTTGGACTTCAAGGAGTATGTGATCGCCCTGCACATGACCACGGCGGGCAAGCCCACGCAGAAGCTCGAGTGGGCCTTTTCGCTCTACGATGTGGATGGCAACGGTGCCATCAGCAAGAACGAGGTGTTGGAGATCGTCATGGTCAGTGTGTCTCTGTCCTTGCTGCCTGTGTGGGATGGGGAGGAGGCCATGCGGTGGAGGCCACAGATGCTGTGTAGCCCAGTGGAGTGGGGGCCGGGCCAGGAGCCAGGAGAGTGAGGAAAGAAGGAGCCTCCAATGTACGGAGAGAAACAGAGGGCACCTCCCCACAGCGTCAGCTGCTTCCCAAAGAACAATCCGGGTGTTTCCCAATAAATGCAGTTTAAAATTTCCCCTCATCCATCCTTCTTCCCCCATCCATCCCACTCCCCCTCCTTCCTTCCCTCTCTTCTCCCTCTCTTCTCTTCCTCCTTTCCTCTCTCACACTTTTTCCCTTAAGTCTTCAGGGTTTTTTGTTTGTTTGTTTGTTTCATTTTGTTTTATTTTTGCAACACACAGTCATATTCTACAACCATAAAGTCGAAACACGTATGTTTCAACTACAAAGCACTGACCACCGTGGGGACGTGGAATCTAGGTCCTGATTGGTTCTCTTCCTAATCCTGATGTGGTGTGGTGGACCTAGGCAGGGATCCTCAAGCTTCCTGCCCCCTTGTGGACTTCCCAGCTGGAGTTCTCTGTTCTCTCCCTCCTGCCTACGATTTGTTCTGAGTATTTTTGGTTTTTGGTGTACCACAAGTAGTTCTTTTCTTTCTTTCTTTCTTTCTTTCTTTCTTTCTTTCTTTCTTTTTTAGATTTTATTTATTTATTATGTATACAGCATTCTGCTTCCATGTATATCTGCACACCAGAAGAGGGCACCAGATCTCATAAGGGATGGTTGTGAGCCACCATGTGGTTGCTGGGAATTGAACTCAGGACCTCTGGAAGAGCAGTTGGTGCTCTTAACCTCTGAGCCATCTCTCCAGCCCCCGAGTAGTTCTTTTCTTATCTAATACATAAGCAGTCTGTGAAATTTAGAAATGATGCAAATGTGATGTTGCAGACCGAAATCTATAACCAGGATACTTACTGTTAGTACATTGCTACACACCTTTCCAGTGTTTTAGCTGCTTTAAGACAATTGTGGAACCCTAACATATTTACCTGTGATTTTTCCCCCATGCTTTTCCTGTTACTCTTTTACCATGAATATTTTCTATATCATCTCAAATTTTCAGAAACATAATTTTTCTGGGAGTCTCTCTTAATTTATTCAACTGTCTCAAGTCCTCAGCCCTTCTTGCCTCAGTCCCCATAGTTGCTGGGATTACAGATGTGAACACCCTATGGAAATGTTGTAAGGTCATTCATTCAAGTATTCCTATAATTTTACATATCAGAAAACTTCAATTCTTTCTATGTCACTTAAGTTCTTCCTCTTAAACCCTCCTGTCTCTGTCACTTGCTTTATTTTTCAAATTCTATTCCTGCTAGAAGGAACAATACTCTTCATGTTTTATGTAATATTTGGTGTATTTGTAATCATGCTTTTACTTGCAAAATTCTCCCCCCTTCCTTATTAGGATAAACCACAGACATAATAGCAAAGCCTGAAGCTAAGGACAGACTGTGTCATCTCTGGAACAGGGGCCAATAAGATGCACTCTCACTGTCTGTGGGGCAAAGCCTGCAGAGCAACCTCCTCTGGGTTAGTTTCGGAGTCCACCTAAAGAGTGGTAGGTTGATGCTCTTCTAGGCAGAGAGGAAAGAAAGGAGCAGGGAGAAGAGGTGGGGAGGAGAAGCTGAGGCTGTGCAAAGTGTTCAAGGCCTTGCTAGTCACCGGGTCACAAGGTCATTGTGAAAGTATCTGTCTGGAAGTCAGAAATGATGGGTTCTTGTGCCAGTTCTGACACCAACTCGTTACGAGACCGTGGGAAATGTATATAACCTCCCTGGGCCCCGGGTGAGGCTTTGATGGTTTCTATGGCCTTTCCCAGAACCCTGAAGGCTTGATTCTCTCTCACTCCAGTACCAACCAGCCCAATGTTGGGGGAGAGATGGAGCAGACAGACAGTCACAGCCAGTATTTAGTGGTCATGCCTGGACATGGTGCCGGTAGGGCAGGAGAGGGGAATTCTGGGAGTCATCCATGTTTCAGTTCATTTCAGGTGGAAGTGGTGGGGTGCTGCCTATAAAGATCCTTCCCTGAACAACCAGGGTAGTGTCCTTATTGTCCTAGCACCAGTAGGCAAGGTCACCTCTAACAGCTGTTGACCTTCCTGAAGCCCAGGCTAATTTCACAGTTGCTGTTACCCTTTTATAATGTCCTTGAGTCTCTGGGGAGGCAGGGGCTTTGGTCAGAGACAGTAGCTGCCCAGGTCTTCGTGTCAACATGTCTATCCACAGCCTGAGCCTGCCTAACACCTGAAGTATCTAGCCTTGAGTGTCCTCTCAGAGCCTAGCTGACCTGGAGCCACTGACGGAGCCAGTAGAACCCTAGAAACCTGGTATCAGGATAAATAGGGACCACCTTGTCCACTTCTCTGATCTCATATAAGTCAGGAACACTTCTGGCTTTTCCTCAATCAGAGGGAGAAGGGGCTGAAGGGACCCAGCCTTTCTCTGCATTCCTTCCTGAGTGTAGGGTACCTAAGGGGATTTCTGTGTCCCTGAGCAGACCTCTGCAAGTCTTGTTCACACCTCCCTTCCTCCTCCTCAGCCTAGTCTATGATCTTCAGAAACAATATACACAAACTGGGGTAAAATGCAAGCATACAGGTTCTAGAACAAGCTGCCTGTGTTAGAATCAATGCTACCCTGGGTAACTTTGGGCAAGTTTGATGTTTGCAAGTTTGCTTGCTGTCTGTAAAATGGGACTGACAATATCCTCTCTGTAAGGTTCTCTTGAGAATTAATCTAAAAATGCTAACACAAGTGATGTGAGTGTCCCACAGAAGTTAGCCTTTGTGATCCTAGGCCAGCCCTGCTGCAGAACTAGAATGCCTTGCAGACATGGAAGATGACCTTTGTGTTTTGTTTTTTTGTTTTTTGTTTTGGTTTTTCGAGACAGGGTTTCTCTGTGTAGCTTTGGAGTCTATCCTGGCACTCGCTCTGAAGACTAGGCTGGCCTGGAACTCACAGATATCCTCCTGCCTCTGCCTCCCAAGTGCTGGGATTAAAGGCGTGTGCCACCAACGCCCAGTGGAAGATGCCCTTTGATTCTTCTCTCCAGCCTGTGGGAGACAGGGACTGTGCTAATGGCTCCCAAACTCCAACCTCAGGGCTGCTGTGGGATTATTGTTGGGAAGTTTCTATTTTTTTTTCTAAACAAAACTATAGCATCTACTCAGAAGACTCAAATGGTACATGAAAGAGCAAATTTTCCTCCATAGTCACTGTCCTGTACCAAGGTCTCAAAGGTGTTGATGGTGCCTGGGGCCCGCCCTGGGGG